GATCAGGACATGATTTGAAAACTTTTCAAGGTTGGAAACATTTTACAGCTGTATGCTGTAATTTTATGGAGTTGCCAGAGAATTCTGAGATTCAGTGAATGTTGGACACTATTTCCAAGTGGGTTATTGGTTTATTTTTAAATTTTCTAGCCTGCTGATATAGCACTAGAGATGGATCGTGTCTCTGGTATTACTGGCTGCAGAATGGCATGCTGGGCAAAATGGCAGGTATTCAAGCAGCACATGATTCAGTAAAAAAACCATTCAGGATCTAGTCTTTGCTGCTTTTGGAAAAGATTTGGAAAACTGCTGTGATTCACCGGCTGCAACTAGATTCTTATTGCTGTTGGATTTTAATAAGTATTTCTTACAGCAGTAAGTATTGTTTTTTTTAAAAAAGCTAGTTTTTTATTGCAATGCATTAAAATTAAAAGTATAGCAGAGTTTCAAAAACTGAAAATTGTGTGTTGATATAGCTGATTTTCCCTATTTATCAATTCATTACCTTATAAAGAAGTGACATTTTAACCTAAGTAGTATGCGAATGACTTGAAAGATATATTTAATATTGAGCATATTGAGAAATATTATTGCAATGTATCATAACAAGTTTGCCAAAGTAGAATATATTGTCTCATCCTTTATTATTATTTACCTTTGATTAGTGGGAAATGCTGCCTTTTCCAGGCCAGATAAGAAATTATTTCCAAAAGCTATTCTTCAGTGTTTGGAATAATGCCACTTCTAATTTTTCAACATTACTCTTTTCACCACTCCTCCTGCATGATAGAGTCATAATTCTTGATAAACAAGTTCCAAATATTTGGTACATAATTTAATACTACATTGACATCTTTAACATTTAAAGGTGATTGCATAAATTAAAAAAAAGAAAACAGATAAAGGGTTCCCCTGTCTAGGTGTGGCCGACTCTAGGGTTGATGCTCCTTTTCCTAGCTAAGGGAGTTAGCATTGCCTGAAGCCGCTTCCGTAGTCATGTGCCAACGTAACTGTACACCAAGGCACAGGGAGTGCTGTTTTCTTCCTACTAAAGTGGTAGCTATTTAACTAGTTGCTTTTCCACACTTTCAAACTGCTAGCTTGGCAGAAGCTGAAACAAGGACAGGAGCTAACCCCATCACATGGTGCTTAGGTCTTGAATTGCTAACCTTCTGGTTGATAAGCTAACATCTAACTGCTAGGTTACCATGCCTCTCCCATATGTCTGCTTACATGCATTAAAATAACATTGCAAAAAAGTTGACAAATGATCAAAGAACCATATTGTATGGATCAATATCACATTTTTACACCTCCAAAAGGAAACATAGATGTCCTTCCTTTTGAATTCATTATTTAGGGAGTCCAATAAACTCATATTAAAACTGTTAATGAATCAACTTTAATCGCAAATCTGTTCATTCCATTTTAATATTTTTAAGAGTTGGAGCCATTGATACAGCATTATTGGAGATTCCAATTCTTTAGATCATATTTAAATCACTCCAAAATATTCACTTAAAAAAAAACTCCTGCCCTTTTGATGGAAATATGTTATGGAGTTTATTTTGTCGTAGATACACTTCAATATGAAAGCTTCCTGGGCCTTTGAAGTGGTCAAAGTGTCTGACTCATATTGAGCCATTCAAAATGCTTGTTGAAAGTGCTACCCTGTTGTGAACTAAAAGCTCAAATTTAACTTGAAATCAGGAAAAATCCTTAAAATAATCATTACATAATAATTGGTTTAAAGGCATAATCCCAGCTTCCACCCTTTCTAGTCAATAAAAGATTTTACCCCCTATAAAATAAAACTATATTTTTTTTTCTGAAGAATTAAATATTCATGAGTATTATCATCAAAACTGTTCTGTGCACAATATGATCCAAAGATTTCTGACAGCTGGCACTCCTGGAAATAAAACGCCTTTTACTGGTATATATTGTTCCAAACACTTGCTCTGATCCCAAGGCAAATAGGTAATAGCTTTACAATATAGCCTTTAGAATATGTTTTAGATTCTCCTATTCACCTTCTTGTTATATCTGACCATGCTCCTATTACAATAACTCTTTGATTTAAAAAGTTTATGCCAGTTATGGAAGGTATTTTAAACTGCCTTGTTACCAAAGGAGGGGAGAGCTCTACTAACAATAGCAGCTAGGCCGAACTGTAAGGAAGAAAGTATTTTCATAGACATTCAAGTCTCAAAAGTGCTTAAACCCAAGCTGTTTAGAAACTTTAATATCAAAATCATTAAGTTTGGCCATAGCAAACCAATAGTCAGTAGACCTCTTTCAGCACTTATCTAATTTGGCATCACACAATCATTTATTCTCATCCTGTCTACAGTTCTACATTTTGAAAGTCTCCTAAGCTCTTAAGAATCAAGTCAATATTTTTTTTGCAAATGTCTTTAAAATACAACGTCTCCAAACTTGTTATATGTTGCCTATAATTCTTGGAATGTACCCTGTTTGCATATTTTTACATATTTTCCAACTGTTGGCAAAATGGGACATAGCCAAATGCAGGTCAAAGCATCTGAGAAAGTTTAATATAGCAGGGAAAAAGCACTGCTAATTGTGAAAACCATTAAGCTGAAAGTGATGTCTGCTTTAATAGTAGAAGTCTGTGTTAATATTTAGCAACACAATTTAATGCAGTTTTAGAAAAAGTACAAAAAGAAACCTTAGTCAGATTGACAGGAAGATGTTATGGATGATCCTAGTGCCGTGATGGTGAACCTATGGCACGCATGCCACAGGTGGCACATGGAACCATATTGGTGGGCACACAAGCATTGCCCTAGTTCAGCTCTGGCACACATGTGCCTGCCAGCCAGCTGATTTTCGGGCCATCCAGACCCACTGGAAGTTGGGAAACAGACTGTTTCTGGCCTCCAGAGGGCCTCGGGGGGGGAGGCCCATTTTACGCTCTCCCCAGACTCCAGAGGCTTTCTAGGAGCATGAGGAGGGGGAAAAAGGCCTTCCTCACTCTCTCAGAGGACCTCCGGTGGCCAGAAATGGCCCATTTGCGTGGGGGTGGTGCTCATTGAATTATGGGTGTGGGCACACACACGCATGACCCCCCCTCCCATGCTCCACCCACTTTTGGCATGTGACGGCAAAAAGGTTCGCCATCACTGTCCTAGTGGGTGTCCTCCATATTGATTTAATAATTCTACTGCCTCAAAAATTCCATGGAAGAGAAAGCTGACATTGCAAGTCAAATGGCATGCTGCTAGAATATTTAAGAGCAGCTGTAGACGGAGCACTGTAACACAGAAGACAACCTAGGAGATTATTTTTTACTAAGTAACCTTAATGCCTACTTCTAGTTATGTACCACAAGATATGTTAAATACTTTATGGAAAACTGTTTGCCTGGGGAAGAATTTGTTGTTCACAAAGCTGTAAAGGCAACTATTATAGTTTTGTAAAACCTTTTTGGATACAATTCATAATTATCACAGAATTAGTTTTCCCATTAAAAAAAATGCTATTGAGAGCCGAATGTAAAAGTATAAATGGAGATATTATAGAAAGGTAGTCAAAAGCAGCGGTCCTCAACCTTTGCAGTTTGGCGGCTTAGCTGGGGGTTAAGAAGGGAACCTGGCTGTTTGAGGTAGACTAGTGCACATGTGTGTGTACACATAGTTCCACTCACACAAGAGAGAAGACTTTGGAGCATGGTTTCGCATTCCTTCAGGCTTCTCCGCACCAAAAGCTGAGGCCTGAAGCAGTGCAAAATTGCTCCCCCAAAGCCTTTTGTCCATTTGCAAAACCTTTTGGTGTGGAGAAGAAAAGCTTTTCGGGGCACAGTCTCATGTGCCTTCAGACCAGGGTTGGGTTCCACTTAACTTTACTACTGGTTTGCAATGGGGCCACCCATGCGCTCTTCTGTGCATGCGCAGAAGTGTTTTGATGACATCAGGGTCAGTGGGCGGAGCCTTCTGCCGGTTTTACTACCGGTTCTATAGAACTGGCGTGAACCGGGTGCAACCCACCACTGCTTCAGACTCACTGAGGCTGCCCAATGCTCCAAATCAGGTGTCGGATCAGGTGTCCTGCGCAGGCAGCCTCGGTGAATCAGCAAAGCTGAGCAGGGTGAACTTGTCACAATCAGCCTCTGCTCTCACCGTTCCACTTTTGGAGCATCAGGAGCAGGCCACATGCGCAATTCCACTCAAGCAAGAGAAAAGACTTTGGTGCGCTGCTCATGCAAGGGAGCTATGTGAGTAGAGCTGCGTGTATGCGCTGGCCCTCAGGCAGCCCAATTCTGAGTAGACCATAGCCTGGGGGCTAGGGACCCCTGGTCAAAAGAACTAGCAGAAGACACTGTCTATTTTGTGTGTGTGGTTCTATTGTTTAGAATTATTGTTCCTAACCTTGCATCTGTGGTCTCATGCCTTTGCGTCAGCATGCCTAACTCCTACCTGGCATTTCTGCTATCCACCACCCCAGTAACTGTTACAGGTCATCAGGAGTAGATAAAGGTGATGGAGCAAAGCTGCACTGGTTAGCATTTCAGCACCTGGTCTAGAATGTAAGCTTTACTTTGTAAGCAAGCACAATTATGTGTTTACTTTAACTAGTTGCACTAAACTAGGCAGGATCTATTCTTGAATCCTGTTTCTATTTACTTCTCTGGCCATTATCATTCCACAAGAAAGGGCCTCAGACTTTTTGAGTGTAATATCTATTTTATTTGCAATAAATTGCATTGCTTGAATTTCTGAGGGTTGTTAGTTTGAAATGTAGGATATAAATAATTTTAACAAATAATTATATTTTTGCTTTTTTGTGGGTTTTCTTTTGTTTAATCATTTTTACTTCATTTTTTTGTGTCTGTACTTACGTTTAACTAATTACTCTATTGACTGCTGCCCCTGAACAGAACACAGAAAAAACCCTAACATCTGTGTTGCTTGTTTCTTGCACTGAAACTGCTCACTGAAATACACAGAGGAAATAACCAGTTCTGTTATATTTTCTAGGAAATAAAACTTGATCAGGTTACCAAATCAGCACTTGGGAGAGAAATTGACTTTGGGATTATCTGTAAAAAGGTATGATGCTTTCAATTTTTCTTAAAAGTTGTATTTTTGTTTGGAAAGTCTCTTTCTACCATCAATATATTAACACAAGCAGAAATGTTTACATCCCTCTTAAGTAATAGATGAAGCTTCCCGGTGTAATGCATCATATGGAACATCTCCAGAGGCATATAGCAGTGTCAAAATGGTAGGCGTTGGTAGGCATTGTCAGGTGATCAAAATCTTGGCACCTTTTTATTTTATGTGTGTGTTCATGCACGCAATCATGCAATGCAAGGTTTTGATCATCTAAGTTGCTTTTGTTGTCATTGACCATCCCTGCATATGTCGTTGGCAACATGTCATATCGTGTGTGTAGATGTCAATACAGAGTCTTCTTAGTACTGTTGTTCTTGAATGTTCTGGCTTTCTAGTTCCAAATGCAAGTTTTGGCATGATAGAATCTGTGACACGGTTTCTAATAATAATTAAAAGTCTCTTACATTTTTTCAGCACTCTGCAAAATATAAAAAAAGGGATAATTAGGTGTTTCAAAGAGTAGTTCTTTATATAACAGTTGACAAAGTGGTTGTCAATGCTTCTAGCTTTTGATGATCATGGGGAAAACTAGGCCATATAGAATTGGGAATAATCATGCACTTTTGCTTCAAAAATCAGTATCAATGTTTTTTTAAACTTTTCTCCAGCCTTACTTTTATTTTAGATGTTGTATGCTGATAAATGGGAAAAAATTAATTAATTGTCTTTAACTTAAATTAAAAGCACAGAAACATTTGAATACAAGTACAGCAACCAAAGTTGGGATTGGTAACTCTGTTGGTAAATCCTGTGGTCATTAAGCAGAAAATCATATGGTTGCAACAGGTTTATGTCACTTCCCATTTACTCGTTAAACAAAACTGCAACTTTTGATTATACTTCTGTGTTCTTCATTAACTTTGTTTGTTCCAAGCTAGTTGGGAAGTATCAAATGGGGATCACCTGACCTCAAGATGCTTATGACAAGATGTCACAAATGTGAGGATTGGTCACAATGTTTTTGTTTTCACTGTCATAATTTTGAATGGTTGGCAAATGAGGCAATTAGTAAGCGAGGACTATAAGTTTTTTATTGTTCTGAAATAACTGTTTTGAAAAATCCACCTATTCTCAAGAGTGGTAACGATTATGTTGTTTCATTATGTTTCGTGTCATCAGCACACAACTCAGTCTTTGATCAGAGATCCTGAGATTTCCAAATTTCTGCTTATTCCATGTTTCTGTTATTCCTCCTTTTTGTTTCTTTATTCAAACAAAAACAAAGCCAGTTCAATGTAGTGAGTGAGTCTAAAAGAAAGGTAAGGATGACCGTAGCACTATGTATCAGCCAATGGTATAATCCCTAGTTCCAGCAAAGCAACAGTATATATTCCATTGAACAATATGGGAGCTTGGATATATTGAATAATTGTCATGTATAATAACAAATAACATTCATAATAACAAACAAATTTTGTTATTAATATAAAATTGAAGAAGTTGCATGATTGTTTTTGAACATATTTGTAAGGTCGTGATTAGATCAATAACTCCAGATTTGGTCAATACATTTATACTCTGGTTTCTCTTCATATGTAAATATTTCACCTTTTAATTATTGAAGCATAAACAATTAAAAGAAAAGTATAATTTTTTTTAGCTCTTGAGAGTGAGTGGTTTGGGAATACATTTAATATAAAAAGAGAAAATTAGTTGTGCGGATTAGCAGGAAGGTACATTTTTTATATTGAACAGCTACCAAGACTGTCTTTGGTCACTTTTCCACCATCGAGATTACAATTGGATTGCTGTAAAATTAAGAATTTTCCTTTTTCCTAAAAGGTAATCTTGTATTTAGAGATTGATTGATTGTTGCAGTTATTTAGGACTCAGGCTCAGTCATATTAAAGATCTTGCTTTAATACTTGTATGTAGGTAAATAGATATTTATATTAAATTATGAGATTCAACTATATCAGGACATTTGTTTAAAAACAGAGCAATGTGTCACAGTGCATTCAATCTTAATGCACTTTTTCAGTGAGCATTACAGCTAACTGTTTGTCAAGTGATTTCAGAAATGTAGGAATGCAGTCTCACAAACCTGTATTGTTTTGATGGATTAAGACTCTTAACTTTGAAAATGTTATTTTGTTATTTTTCAAATGCTTTGAAAAATGTTGGCATTTCTTAATGCATTAATAACCAAACACATGATTACTTAAATAAACTCTTTACATTCTTTTCTTTAAAAGAAATGCATGTGTAGTCCTGAAGCCACCAAATAAATAAATAAATAAATAGTCAAGTCTTTTGACTAAGAGCTGGCTTAGCAGCTTTTACAGAATTGATGTAATCTTTAATATTGTACATACACTTTATATTGTATGAACATGGAATTCTATCACAGGTGTGGGTTTTGCTCTTTACTTGTATTTTTGCATCTAAAATGCTTGCAGTATGAAGGTGGAGCTTTCACTAGGGGACTTGGTTTTGTTTTGGTTTTTTGCTTGTGCTTTTAATTCTGCACACCTTTAGGACAATATCATTGCTGGTTATCTTAGTGTTTTTCAAACTTGTCAACTTTAAGATGTGTGGACTTTGACTCCCAGCACGCTCCCAATGCTACTCAGAGTTCCTTGGATGCCAAAGTAATAATATCTAAATATTCTTATTTCCACAAATACAACAAAATTAGTATTTTAGAGATAAGTTTTACAGATTTAAAAGAGCTCTTTGATCTTGGCTGAAATGGAAACGACTGTGGATGTATAAAACCACAGTTTCCTGATAAATTTCCATGGCAAACAGATGTGAACTTTAAACAGAAATAGCTATGATTACTTTGGGAACATTGGTGATGAGAGAATGTTACATGGAAGTGTAAAATTTGCCTGCTATGACTAATTCTGTTCCAGTAAGGTACATGAATAAATCTTCTGATCCTCAGAAAATGTGTATATTTGAACTGTGCTCTTAAATATTTTCAGAGCAGTAGAATTTTTTTGCCTAATTAATATCTCCTCTCATGCCAAAGAATATATCTTTTAGCAAAACTAGTTCAAGAAAAAGTTAGTTATAAATATTCCTGTCTTGGATTACTATTTAAATGGAAGAATGCTTAACTTGAATATTTTGTTTATTTATAGTCTTAAATTTCATTATGATCATAAGCTCAGATTCCCCAAGTGTGTCAATTCTGTTGATGATCATCTCATCTGCACCTTTTGATGAAGCTGCATGAATATTTCCCTTGCCATAACTTGCAGGTTGTCCACATCAACTTGCCCAAGTAGGAGAAATTTCCCCATTTTATATATCCTGCTCAGACACTATGGACATCAAGGCTGATGGCCTTAAAGAAACTCTGCAGTGACAGTTACAAGAATACATTTTAAGCCAAGAAAATGAAGGCATTAGAAAGAAAATCAAATTGATTGCACCTTAATTCCCTGGGGTATAAGAGGGAGAGTGAAGAGAAAACATAATTAACCTTTAAAGATTCTGTTACTATAGCCTATAAGAATAATCTTGAGACCCAAGAGCTTATTAGACAATGCTTGGATTGTGAGCAATTATTATTCTTTGATGCATGCATAGGGTTAGAAAATACTTATTTAATACCAGACATGGACAAAATCCATGCAGGACAAGAATAACTAATACAAAGAAATTATTTCATGGAGCTTTTTTGTCTGTTGTGGTAATGTTCTTGAGTAAATGTCAGGATTCTTTTCAGTTGAGTTTCAGGGAGGGACATAGAACCAAAACACTTCACATTTGTAGTTGACATCCGGACAGAGCCAGGATAAAGATGGTGGCTCAGTGGCTTAATGATGCTGGAGATGGTGTTTGCTCCAGTGGTTTGAGTCCTAGCACTGCATGGCGGTGTGAGCTCCTGTCACTCTTCTCAGCTTCTACCTTCCTAGCAGTTAGAAAGCATGTTATATGTGAGTAGATAAATAGGTACCATGTCAGTGGGGAGACGAACTGGTGCTTCATGTGAATGGTTAGAATCCAGCTAGTGCTGGATCTTCCTGGTTGCGAAGCCCATTTGCGAGGTGGTTTCAGTGGAGGGAAAGGGCCTCGGATGATACTTCAGGAAATGGTGCAGGGCTAGCTCACCCCCTATAGTGCACCTTGGAAAGCATGTAAGTATGAGCCAAATATGGCTAGCAGTTTTAGGCAGCCAAACTACTACTCTGCATTGGCATTGTCATCACCTGGCTGATACAACACCGCCATACTTTAAATAAATAAAATCAGTGGTTTTTGACACCATAGATAATGTTTTCTTTCTGAATTGATTCTGGAGATTAAGAGTGGGAGGCACGGTGTTCTAACAATTCTCCTTCCTCCATAACTAGTTGTATTCAGTGTTGATTGGGATGTAGGCTGCCAGTGCTTTTGTCACTCATGTTTAACATGAAGACACTGGAAGAGGTCATCGGCCAAGGTGAGGTCAGAAGGGAGCGGACCTGGCGGGTATTACGGAGACCTGGTTGGGCCCAGAGGGAGGGGTCCCTCTGGTAGAAATGTGCCCACCAGGCTTCCACGCAATCCATCAGCCGAGGTCACAGGGGAGGGGCGGGGGAGTAGCGGTTATTATTAGAGAAGGCCTTAGGCCCAGGGAGACCACTGTACCTCAGACAGCTGGTTGTGAGTCCCTCCTTGTGAAGTGGGGCCATGGGGTTCAGATGGGCTTGCTGATCACGTACCTGGCTCCCTGCCACGTGGCAGCAACCCTGCCTGAGCTACTCAACGTTATCGCCGCGGTGGCGGTTGATACCCCCAGAATTATGGTCATGGGGGATTTCAACCTGCCGTCCGTGGGTGAGACATCTGAGGTGGCTCGGGAGTTCATGGCTTCCATGACGGCCATGGATCTGACCCAGCTAATTCATGACCCTACGCACATGGGGGGAAACACACTGGACTTGGTTTTTGTCTCTGGACAGTGGTTGAGTGATCTTGAGATAGGGGATATAGTCATCGAGCCCTTGTCATGGTCGGATCACTCTCTCCTTCGCCTTGACCTTCGTACCGCGGCACCCCGCTGCAGGGAGGCAGAACCGATAAGATGGTACCGCCCCAGGCGCCTGATGGAACCCGATAGGTTCCAGATGGAGCTTGGGCCAATTCCTGAGGTTCTGACTCACGCCTCGACTGGAGACCTAGTGGCCGCCTGGGATAGGGCGGCCGCTGGGGCCCTGGATCAAGTCGTGCCTTTGCGGCCTCTGACCCGGCGCAGATCTCGCCTGGCTCCTTGGTTTACCGAGGAGCTGAGGGAGACGAAGCGCCAGAAAAGACGCCTAGAGAGTAGTTGGAGAGCTAGTCTTTCTGAATCGGACCGGACACTGGTAAGATCCCATATTAGGACTTACCTAGTGGCGATAAAAGCAGCAAAATGTATGCATTTTGCTGCTCTTATTGTGTCATCAGATAATCGCCCGGCTGCCCTGTTTAGAGTGACCTGCTCCCTGCTCCACCAGGAAGCGCGGGAGGACCCCTTGGAGGGAAGGTTCTTTGTTCAGTATCTGTATGACTTTGTTCAGTATCTGTATGACAAAATCACTCAGATTCGGGAAGGTCTGGACTCTGACTGGGTAGATCCAGCGAGAGTGACGGAGGCAGGTCTTGAGACTGTTATCTGGGATGAGTTTGATCCTGTGACCCCAGATGACGTGGACAGGATTCTGGGTAGATTGAACGCGACCACATGTTTGTTGGACCCGTGTCCCTCCTGGTTAGTGCTGGCTTCCCAGGAGGTGACGCGAGGCTGGCTCCAGGGGATTATAAATGCTTCATTGGGTGAGGGTGTCTTCCCCGCCACCCTTAAGGAGGCGGTGGTGAGGCCCCTCCTCAAGAAGCCTTCCCTGGACCCGGCAATATTGGCTAATTATCGTCCAGTCTCCAACTTTCGTTTTGTGGCGAAGGTTGTTGAGAGTGTGGTTGCGGGACAGCTTCCCCAGTACCTGGATGAAGTGTCGTATCTGGATCCGTTCCAGTCGGGTTTCAGGCCTGGGTACAGCACGGAAACGGCATTGGTCACGTTGGTTGATGATCTCTGGAGGGCTCGGGACAGGGGCTGCTCCTCTGTCCTGGTCCTGTTAGATCTCTCAGCGGCTTTTGATACCATCGACCATGGTATCATGCTGCACCGGTTGGAAGAGTTGGGGGTGGGAGACACCGTACTAAGGTGGTTCTCCTCCTTTCTCTCCGACCAGTCGCAGTCTGTGTTGACAGGGGGGCAGAGGTCGACCCCGAGGCCCCTCATATGTGGGGTGCCGCAGGGATCGGTCCTCTCGCCCCTTTTGTTCAACATTTATGTAAAGCCGCTGGGCGAGATCATCCGTGGTTTTGGAATGAAGTACCATCAGTACGCGGATGACACCCAGCTGTACATCTCCACCCCGGACCACCCCAACAATGCCCTTGAAGTGATGTCCCAGTGCCTGGAGGCCGTACGGATCTGGATGGGGAGGAACAGGCTCAGGCTCAACCCATCCAAGACCGAGTGGCTGTGGTTTCCGACGTCCCGATATAGTCAGCTAGTGCCATCGCTGACTATTGGGGGAGAATCATTGGCCCCCACGGATAGGGCTCACAACCTGGGTGTCCTCCTGGATTCACGGCTGTCGTTAGAAGAGCATGTGACGGCCGTGTCCGGGAGGATTTTTCATCAGGTTCGCCTGATCCGCCAGTTGCTTCCCTATCTAGATCGGGACTCCCTACACACAGTCACTCATGCCCTCGTTACTTCTCGTTTGGACTACTGCAACGCTCTCTACATGGGGCTCCCCTTGAGGTGCACTCGGAGGCTCCAACTGGCGCAGAGTGCGGCCGCGCGGGTGGTGATGGCAGCGACATGGAGTTCCCATGTAACACCTCTCCTGCGCGAGCTGCACTGGCTCCCGGTGGTCTTCCGAGTGCGCTTCAAGGTTCTGGTTATCACCTTTAAAGCGCTCCATGGCTTAGGACCTGGTTATTTACGGGACCGCCTGCTACCACTAATAGCCTCCCACCGGCCAGTACGCTCCCATAGAGAGGGGCTCCTCCGGGTGCCGTCGGCCAAACAATGTCAGCTGTCGGCCCCTAGGGGGAGAGCCTTCTCTGTGGGGGCACCTACGATTTGGAACGAGCTCCCCCCGGAGATACGTAGGATCCCGGATCTGCACACCTTCCGCCGCGCGCTTAAGACTTTTCTATTTTATCAAGCTGGCCTGGCCTAAATCTTCCCCCTTTTTAAATGTGGAAATTTTAAATTTTTAAATTTTAAATTCGTCTTATTTATAGGGGTATGGGTAAGGCGTTTTAAATTGGGGAGCCATTTTGGATTTAATTCTGTTTTAAACGCATTTTAATTGTTTATATTGTATGTTTTTTTAATTTTGGCTGTTCACAGCCCCGAGTCCTTCGGGAGAGGGGGCGGTATAAAAATCTAATAAATAAATAAAAATAAAAATAAAATCTGTATACTAATAATACCCAGCTGTATATCTTGCATTTGGGTCAGCCAACAATCCCATTGAGGTCTAGTCCAAATACATAAGAGTTGTTCAGATCTGGATGGAGAGGATCAGGCTGTCTGCTCCTGATTGTTCTGGTACTAAGAACTTTGTGTTTAGTTCTGATGCAAATGCACTTTTCTGGATAGAACTGATGCTCAGTTTGTGGTTATTCTGGACTTAGAACTCATGCTCAATGAAGGAATGGTGGAAATTTAATTCCCAGATTAAGATTTTGTGGAATTTTCTTCTATCTTTGGTTGAGATCCTAAATAATAGCTGAGTTCTCCAATGATGCAACATTGGTTTCATATATCAAATATGGAGCATAATCCATATAAGATCAATTACTGTAATTCGATTTGGAAAAACTACAGCATCCTTTTAAAGAATTGAAATTTAGACTGTCTAAATTCTAAGATGTGGAAAAGATAAAGCATATAAAAACAAAGGTCTATTGAATTCACTTCAATTTATTTAGTCAATAAAATGTCAAGCAGTAGGTTCTTAGGTGTTTAAATTTACATGTGTTAAGAGACTATGTAGCTTGAATGCTTTGGGGAAAATTATTTAAGGTGCTTTAACAGAGGCAAAATGCACATCATTTTCCTCTATTGAAACTAGACATTCCACCACAAAAATCTCTAGGAGAAACTGGGACTTTAGGGAGCAAATATCAGCTTTTGGTTGAAGTGGTATTCTACCACCTTGAATAGCATATAGGCAGTTCTTAAGCAAGGTGACAGCTCTAATTTGGGATTGAAAGGTTCATGGACATAATGTTGAGCTTCGCAATACACCCTTGTTTCAAGGAACATTCTTGCAGAATCAAATACCTCTTTGTGTACTTTTCCCTTTTGTTACTATGTTCTCATTCAACATAATTTTTCATTTTCCTAATATAGCCCAGTTCTACAGCAAGAGACAGAGCAATTGCTAGATTGATATCTCATCCATTACTGAAGACCAAAATTGCTAATATTGAAGGTAAGCAGAATTCACTCCATCTCGTCTGTGTACAAGATTGTTTTCTAAATTTGCAGTCTCTTACTTTAATATCTCTTAAACCATACAACAATATGTCTATATGTTGTTAGCCTCCGAAGAAGAACATTTATGGTTGCCATACAATTTAAACATATTTTCATTCTGTTCACCTGTAGGAAAGGGTGAAGAACTCCAGAATCATCAAGAAAATTAGTTGATGCCCCAACTTCACATTATCCAAATAGTTGCAGTGTTTTTTGTGTAGAAATAAAGCTGTTATAAGTCATGCATAATGTTGCATGTATATCTTCTAGTAGAAGATTGATAAGCTACCAAACTTTTAATTAATATTTTTACTCTTCCTTGTGAAACTAAAAACTAATGAAAAGAACCAAGTAATCCCTAGTAATACTGTGAAAGTAACACAAATAGTACAAAAGACATATAGTTCATTAAATAAAGATTTTGTAGAGCTGTAAACTACTTAAACTTGTAGCTAGCAGGGTTGTTTTATAACTTCTTTACCATTGCTGTGCTTATATAGAAGTTGTTGCAATTTTTTTTATCAAACCTGAGTTTCTTTTTCCTAGCTGCGGTGAAAGACTTTAAAAATGCAAGACAGAAGCCAGCTAGAGCTATTTCTTCAATGGAACAACAACTGGAAGAGCAGCTTAATAAGCATCCTGAGGAGATCCAGCATTCTGTTAGTAGTGAAACAGTTAAACAAGCTGAATCTCAAGATAAAACAAAGGCAATCAAAAAAGCACAAACTAATAGGGGGAAAAAACATATTTTTGAGTGTGGAATACAGAAAATGGCAGATAATATGAAAAAATGTCCCTCATACACTTCTGCTATGCCTGACACAGAAAATGACAAATTAATTCATCAGGATCAAATTGGAAACTCCGAATATTCACAAGAAAAAATATATTTGAATGACAAGACAGTAGGTGACTCTGATGAAGATGTGGATAAAAGTGAGGGCAATAGAAAGGAGGAATGTTTTGATGACAGTACAGAAGAGAGGTTCTATAATCAGTCTTCCGGCACTGATGAAAGTAACAATAATGATGATTTCTTCATTGGCAAAGTAAAGAGAATGAAAAAAAGGAGAGCAGCTAATGCTTCACAACCTACAGAACAAAAAATTAAAACTATGCCACTAAAAAAAACAAAGGATGCACAACGTGACAGAGTATTAGACCCAGATTCAAAAGACAGCAACCAGAGTTCCAAAGCAGGGAAGCCAGGAACTGTGTTTTATCACGTATTGTCCGACGCTCAAGAACCTATAATTCTGAAAAGGTAGGAATATTTTTTTTGCACTGAAAATCTGGTCAGTTATTTATTAAAAGAGTGTTTTAAAATGTTCAAACAATAGTGTAAAAACAACTTTTTCTGATAATGAAATAGAAGAGAATAGTATCCTCCTCAATCTTGAGAATATCTTCAAAGTAGCATGTAGCAAAAACGAATTATGCCCTTGGGACTAAAGTAAAATTCCTTTATTTTCAGTGGGACTGCGTTTGTGTACTGAGTCTCCAGAGAGGAAACAGAAGGAGCATTATAGTGGGGAAGACAGATTCTAGTTAGGCCCAATAAACATAGCATTAAGGAACTACTATCAAAGAAACATGTCATTAAATGCATGCCTGTAATTTATGTGCTGCATATTTTAAGGTAAAATAGCTCTGCCTGGAGTTTTATTTTGGTGTTCTATGTTTTTCCCCGATAACAAAGTAAAACTGCATCTGCTCTCTAGGCCAGGGTATTTGTTTCCCCTACTGTCTGCCTTACATTATCCCTTCCAAGTTATTGAGTCAGTTTTTATACTGAAGGTTATTCAGAGAAACTGGATCTTATTAGCACCCATTAACAGATTAAGATCTAGATTAATTGTAGGAAACATTATAGAAATTAAGTCATATTTGACTTAGCTTGCCATGTAAGCACACTTATGTAAATAATTTATGCATTTATGTATGTACATTAGATTCAAAAAAAATTTAATTCACTAGCAGTGTTGTTCTTTGCTTGAAACTATTGTCTTTTTTCACTGTTAATTTTTTGTATTTTTTATTCTAGGAATATTAGAGGCCATTATATTAGAAACAGGGCAAGTAAGTGAGAATACTAAAGTAATATTCTTGGCATTTGTTTGGACTCACGGAAAATGAAATCTAGCTTTGCATTAATTATACAGTATAGTTAATGTTTTTATTCATCATAGGTTTTGAATTTTTTAGTATTGGTATGTTTAATAGTCTAAAAATTGGGATGTGCTTAACAATATTAAAGTTGTTTCTGCTTAATAAATATGAATGTATGTGGTTTACCATCAGTTTATAATACAGTATAATCTCTAATATGTGAAAAGTTATTTATACTTTCAGTCAATCCATTTTTATTTGATCATAGACAGCAAATGAAACAAGAATATCATAATTAGGGTAAAAACAAAAAAGTTCTGAAATATCTAAGAAGACTCAGGAAAAAAATATGGCATACTGTACAAACTATATAACAGTACTTAGCCATAATCAAGGAAATAAAATTTGATTTGTCTGACAATAGCAACTTAAGATAAAAGAAATCTGAACAGCCAGGGTATTAAGTAAAGGATGGAGATGATAATACTTGATGAGTGTCTGTGTAGGAAGGAGAGTATAAAATAATGTGTTTCATTGTCTCGATTATTTCTCTACCACATTGACAGTCTCTATTCAAAGGGAATCTTTCAGAATCTCCCTTCAATAAAGCCTGTTGGAAATGACATTGAATCTCTCCAAGGATAAAACCCTTCTAAATTTTGGAATTGTTATGCAACTAAGTTGAGTGCATAACTGATTGAGTAAATAACTGATTGAGTTACTTACACTTTATTCTTTGTTAATTTTTGGACAGTTTTTGAAAAAAATCACCCACAGAAACAGATGTCTAAAAGTTCGGCAGTAAAACATACAATTGGGAGGAACCCTCCACAGCAACCCCTTCATCCATCATGGGAAGCAAGAAGAAAAATGCGAGAGCAAATATCTCAAATTACAGCATTCCAAGGGAAGAAAATTAAATTTGAAGATTAGAATTTGATTTTTAAAGATGGCATCGCTGATTTTTTGTTTTGTTTTTGTTTTTTTTGCAGTGTTACATATTGACAATTCTGCAGTATGTGTGTGAAGCCGTATAAGCTAAAAAAAAATTACTTTGAGGAAAAATAATTTTTCACTGCACAACGTTACTGTTTTGATGTTGGCACTTTTGTCAAAAATATTTTTAAAAAATATTTTTTATTGATTTTTACAACAACACAACATACAAAACATCAACACATCATATGTGTGTCTTTTTACATATCAGTTTCGTTCCTCTTTCTACTTTCTACATTCCCCATTTTTTCATTCTTTATTGCTTTATCTTTATGATTGGCTAAAGACTAGGGAAGGTAAAAGGGAATAAATGATGTGATAAATGTCAAAAATATTTTTAGCAAACATATTTTTTGTTTACTTATAGAGATCTTGCATAAAAAGATCAGTGGATTGATTATGGTCTGTCGACATATGTAGAGTTCCTTCACGGAGAATATTTTGAATCTTCTAAGATCCATTGCTGAGGATCTGCAAGACACTTATTAACCAAGAGAGGAAGAAGGAAGCTCCAACTAGCTAAATTAAAACTAAGAAGTAAATGGGTTTTTATTTATTCAACCTAAATTATAGCATTTAAAAGCTAATGTCAGCTTTGGAAGCCATATTAGGCCGGAAGCGCCAATGCTGCCATCTTCTCATGTGTGGGAAAGTAGGAGAGGGGGTTAGTAGACATAATAGTATTCTTCCTGTCGGTCAAGGTCAGGGCGATCCCGCATCTGGAGGAGGGGTCAAAGGGCTGGATCGGGATGGAACGGACGTTGATTGGAGCATGTGACCGACTGGGTGGAAAAGGGGATGGTTTTGGGAGCTTTGACTTACTGAAGGAAAACCCAGGCTTTTCAGATTTGGGTTTTCCCAGATGTGCTAGTTTGCCTATTTTAGTAAAGAGGACTTTGGAAAATGCTTGCTTCCGTGTCTTGTCTTGGAATGGGGGTTTTTCTGGAACGCTGACAGCTAATTCAGCTGCAAGGTTGATTTTGATTGCAAGGTAGATTTTATGGCTTCTTTGTTTGTTTTTGCCATTTAGCCCCTACTCAGCTGCTTCTTTCTGTGGTCATGGATATGAAACAAACATGTCTGTAGTCTGCAGAACAACTCTGATGAATCTTATGAAAGTAGACTGGTGCCTTTGAAAGATTATACCATAATAAATCTATAATTTAAAATACCACATTGCTTTATTTATGGCATGGCATATAGCCTTTTTGTTTAGTTACTATTTCCTGAACAAGCTGAGTGAATGGATGTGATGGCCTGATTAAGCACCATAAACTTTAAAACTAGAGTGTGCTTGACAGAATATTTGTGGAATATTCAGAAAAGGATTCTTCTAAACAGATATAGTTGATATAAAATCATGATAGTGGTAGAATTCCAAATGAAAATTGAAATGGAACATGACAACGGCTAAGTGCTTTTATTTGGCCTTTCAATATTTTGAGAATATAAAAGTATTTGCATTTAAAAATATTACCTCTACTTATCTAGAGTTGATTAAGGAACTGTAGGCTGCAGTTGTTGCTTACATTTTTTGCAGCTACCTATATTTTCCCGAAAATAAGACTGAGTCATTTTCTTTTGGACCTCAAAATAAGCACTAGGGCTTATTTTTTGGGGGGGGGTCTTATTTTTTTTCATATACGAAAGGCCCACTTCTACTTGCTTGTGGAGGGGTAGGAGGCCGCGTGGCACACCAGTACCACCATTGCAAGGCAGAGAGAGTGGAGCTGCCCTACACATCCCACAGCAGCTTATTTTAGGGCCTCCGCAGCCAGGCCACCCCTGCTCCGATACCTGCCTTGTCTCGCAGCAGTGGCTCCTTCAGCCCCATCTGGCAGGATCCCACGTGGCTCTCAAGGGTCTGGACCGACACCAGTAGGAAAAATGCCACATGCTTGAATACAAACTGGGTTTATTCAGCTGGACTCTGGCACACAGTGAGTTCATTCAGCAGCAAAACAGCAGTTCGTAAAATCTGTTTGAAGCAAGTCTGTTAGATGCAAAGTCAGCGTTGGGAGCATCTGCCTCCCAGTGTCCTTAAATAAACGAGCCATGCTTCTTCTCTGCGCTGGTCTCGCCCTGGTGGTTGTCATGGGCTGAAGCTCCAGCCCAGCTGATTGTTGGGCCGGAACAGTTGTTTGGCCACGTTTGTTCCTTGTTTGGCCACATCTCCGCGCCTTGCAGTTGAGCTCCGCTGCAGCCTCTGCCTCTGCTGCACCCGCCAAAGCCATGAGTTCACTCACCATCAGTTCCCCATTATCATCGCTGTCATAGGGTTTTTGTATTCATCCGCCGGTATGTCATCTCCTGCCCGGGTTGCGGATGACGGTACCGCTGCCAGGGTTACCACTCTGGACTTTTCGGGAGTCTTCAGTGGCGTCTTCTTCACCTAGCTTAACCGGGGCGGACCGGCCTGGGGGGGTAGAAGCCGGACATTCAGCCACACGACGGCCTGGCTGGTCGCACTGGAAACATTTCACTGGAGGCCGGGTGATCCCCTCCCGGGTATCAGCCACCTGCCTGGGAGCTGTTCTACTGGCAATGGGTGGTCACTCCCCGATCCTCTGTGGACCCACACCAGCGTCCCCCATGGGCCAGCACTGAACTCTCCTCTGAAACAGCACTCCCACAATTCAGCGTCCAGCTCCTTGCTTGTATCTGAGCTGTAGCTATTTTACCACCATTATGAAGAGTTCTTTTGGGGAACATGGTCTTGTTTTCTATTCCGCATTCTGGAGTCCTGTGTTCTACCCCAAATTCCCAGAATTTAATAATTCCTTATTAAAGATTTAGACTGCATTTTGGTTGAATCTAGAGGAGACCTTGAGCATTTGAAACATTTTTATTTGTCATTTTCACATAAATTTGCAAACAGTACAAGAATATGGAAGTTCTGTGAAGAATACAATGTTAGTGTATGATTAATTATAAATTACTTCATAGAAAGATGTTTAGATTTTAAAGTTTTTGGGAAAATAAGATTTACTTTTTTCAGTTCAAGTTAAATACATAAGCACCTTTGTAATTTGTAGAGTGTGAAAATGTGTTGAAAATCACAGGATAGACCACTTTTAATGAAATGAGTATAAAACCTCAGTTATATCCAGCTTGAAATGATAGGAATGTATAGAAATTTCCATTATTAGTTTGTCATTTAAAAAAAATATTTTAATGTAGTGCATTATGAAGTATTTGGCACAGCAAAGATTTTGTTTTTAGTGAGTCACATAGATGGGTCAACCTCACAATGTGGAACACTCCTGTGACCTTTGCCACATTCAACGTTTCTTCCAGTTGAGTGGCCAAGTTGATAAGAAAAATGATTTAGGGTCAACAAAAATTCTTAAATGACAGCATCCCATCCTTCACAAAATAGTATCCTTTTCTATTCAGGCCTTTTTCTGGATTCTACACAGACCTTCTGTTCACATAATAAATAACAGATACTCTATGTTTAGACATGAAAATATGGTTTTATCATAAGAAAAATGCATCTTATACATTGTGATCCTATATGGCAAAGTTACTCAATTGTCAGGCCAACTATCTTTTACTTTACTAGAGAGAAGATCAGCAACTTTCCTGAGGGAGTGTCCTCTAAGTAGTTACTAGTGTCACAATACCAGTTACAGTTCCTTGCTACAAAAGTCTGGGTTTTTTTTAAAAACGAGTTTAGGTATTCAAGTGGTTGACATAATAGTGCAACATATGTTTATGTATGGTTGAGAATATGATCAGGACTGGCAGTTCAACATCTATCAAAAAGATGAGGCGGCCTTGACAAGTGGATAGGAAGCAGAGGTGGGTTTCAGCAGGTTCTGACCAGTTCTGGAGAACCGATAGTGGAAATTTTGAGTAGTTCAGAGAACGGTACTAAAAATTCTGACTGGTCCCGCCCCCATCTATTCTCTGTCTCCGAAGTCCCAGCTGATTGGGAGGAAATGGGGATTTTGCAGTAACCTTCCTCTGGATTGGGGTGGGAATTTATATTTTATTTATTTTTATTATTCATATTTCTATGCCGCCCACTCTCCGAGGATTCTTGGCGGCTTACACCAAAGACACTAAATAGCATATTGCCCCCAACAATCTGGGTCCTCATTTTACCCACCTCGGAAGGATGGAAGGCTGAGTCAACCTTGAGCCGATGAGATTTGATCCGCTGATCTGCTGAACTAGCAGTCAGCTGAAGTAGCTGCAGTACTGCACTCTAACCACTGTGCCAGCTCAGCTCATGGAGCCGAATGGAGATTTTACAGTATCTTTCCCCTGGAGGGGGGTGGGAATGGAGATTTTACAGTATCTTTCCCCTGCCATGCCCACCAAGCCATGCCACACCCACAGAACCAGTAGTAAAAAAAATTTGAAACCCACTACTGATAGGAAGGATCCAGTCCTGTGATTTTGTCCAGACTTGTGGGCATGTTGCTTGAATGATAGAATAAATGCTTAATCTAAATGGATGGAACAAATTATAGTGCTCATTGGATGACGGTAAATTGCTAATTTTTTACAATGCAGTCATAGGTGTTCCAGAGCAGATTTAGGGAAATTTGCTCTAGAATGGAATCTCGTCACAGAAACTGGACAATGAGTTAAAAAACACCCAAATGTTTGGGATTCAAACTATAAAATCTTTCCACAAAAAATTATTTCATATATTCCAAATGTTACATGTCATATAATAGCATGTATATCGCAATTTAAGAATTCTATGTCAAGATGATTCAGTGAACGAGGATTTATATACCCATTTTGAGGAAAAATTTCAATCTCTCAATAGTAGTTGAACTACTATTCCTTAGTACAATTAACCGTGGTTCAAATTTGGTTTGCTCTATGTAATATCCTAAGTAGAAATTTGAACTACAACTTTATTTCCAAGATTGTATAATACCTGACTGATGCAGGTACTTACAGGCTTGAGTATATGTTCATATGAGCACATCCGTGCTTTCACGTATATATAAAATAATTCATTTTGATTTTCTAAACAAATATTTTAGAAGAACATTTTCTTATATGTTCATGAGGTACAGAGACAAATCTGGGTAAGGCTCATTTTATGACTTCACCTGAATGGGTTTTTTTTTTGTTTGTTTGTTTTTTTATGTAGCTAGAAACTGTAGATTTTATAATGGAACACAACATAAAGCATAACATAAAGCTTATGAGCTCAGTCTTTTTTTTTTTCTGGTAAAAATATATCATTTTCAATCTGTTATCCAAGTCCAATTCATGGGAAGTGGTTTCTAAACATCTGTAATTCAAAATCTTTCCAACATCTGTAATTGAAACTCTTTCCAGTTGAGGGAAGGTGGGGGGAGAGAAAATGCAAAGCAGACTGCAAGAAGCACTGGAAATAGGCAAATCTGGTGTTTTAATATTCTAAGTAATGTATTAAAATACTGATATACTTTTTGGTTTAAGATTATTTGCCTGCTAATGCTTTAAAAATAGAATCATTTTATATGTAATCGGATTTTAAGCATAAATCTTTCCTTTAAAATGAAGCCTACTTTTGTATCTATTAGACAAAAAAACAAAGCTTTGGTATTTGTGGAAGCTTCATCTTCCCTACCAATTTGTTCCACAACTAGAGTTCCTTCCTATACTTTTCACAATCAGTATTATACGACTGCATATCAAAGAATTATGAAATTACTCTATAATCCCAGAGGATTTGGACACTAGTACCATTGGCTGTTGGTAACAAAAAATATTGCAAAAAGATTTTAGAAGATTTTCATGATACTATGTAGCAATGGGCCTACTGTTATTTAAACATAAATGTTTAAACTCCCATTAGACATGCCTCAACCATCCAATGAAATTGAAAGCAGCTCTTTGGATATCTGCTTATGCTAGCACCCTTTATATTTCTAAGAAGCACTTTCAAATATACTGATTTCCAGTAGTCAATGGAAAAGATATTTATATAAGTAGGTTAACTTCCTTTAGAATTCATTATTCTTTCTATAGAGTACCATTGTCTCACTGGCTTCAAAAGCTGAATAGCTGAATCAAACAAGCATTTCATTTTGAAGAAGTTCTTAATGCTTCAGAGTCAGATTAAAATTCTTTGAATATATTTTCTGGTCCTTCTTCTCATTTTTCAAAAGTGTTTACATCCTATTCAGTTTATAAAATAAATGCATCTCCAAACCTTGGGTATCAGTAAACCAATTTTCTTTCATCCTAATATCTACAGGAAAAAAGACAAGTTTATTATTAGGAACAGAATGCTGCACAGAAAATTACAAATAACAATTTTAAACATGCAATAAATATTTTTATTAGGAATTTTTATTAAATATTAGAATATGGTAAATTTCAATTTAGAAATTCAGTTTGGATGAGATTTGATTGAGTCATCAATTTTTTTTTAATCAAGACAATTCAATTTGAGGATTCAGATGATTCTGATTATATACACATTATTCCAATTAAAACTGATGAGTCAACTCAAAAATTCAAACTGGATTATTAATCTGAACTGGATTTCAGTTAATTTGCCTACCATTGTTAGGTAATTGTCTTTTGCTTAAATTATTTTTATGAACACTGCAGACAGAAGCACTAGACAGATGGTTCACTATCTGCATTGTCACGAATGAAACATCGTTCCTAAAAGCAAGGAGTAGTAATGTAGTAGCATCTTTTAGGAGCCTTTCAGAGCTGCTTTAAAAGCTATCCTTACTCATCTGTACATCTATATAGAGGTAGTCCTCGATTTACAACCACAATTGAGCCCAACATTTCTGTTGCTAAGTAAGACATTAAATGAGTTTTACCCCATTCTCGTTGATCCTGGCTCCAGTGGTCAGGATTGGATTGGGTAGTGACACGCTCCAATTACTGATTGAGTCTGCAAAGCTGAGAAGCTCCTCCCCTTTGTCTTGCTTCCCAGCTTTCTGACTCAATCCAGTTAGATAGGCACGTTTGAGCTTAGCTCTTGCAAAAGTTTCCTTTTGCCACAGGATTTCTTCTCCAGCTCCCATAAAAATCTTGGTAGAGCTCCCAGCGCGAAGGGGTTCGTACCCGAGACCGCTGGAGGCCAATTTTGGCTGGTGAGGGCTGTAGGTTCCCGGCTGGTTGAGCCTGGTCCTCACCCTAGCGTGGAGGGCTCCTTCCCTCTACTGCTGCATACAAGGGGCTAGCCTCTTGCCTGGACAGGCAGAGGCATCGAAGAGGCTATTGGGGATCCGATAGCCAGCTAATCGCGGCGCTATTTCAGCGGAGCCGCATTTGGGGCAGAACACGAGGCCTGAGGCCCCTATTAGCCGCATCCTTTCTGATCGGCTCCTGGGCTCAGCACAGTAGCAGAGAGCCTCGTTTCAGCAGCCCCAGCCCCTCGGGTGGATCGGCTCTGCTGATCAACTCCCAATCGCCGGATTCCAGATGTAAGTATGAGGGGATTTGGTTTCGGAGTCCGGGCGGCCATTATTACCTCCCTCTACCATTCGTAATGTTCCGGCGGCCATTTTAAGTGTCCCGGCGGCCATTTTAAGTGTACGGCGGCCATTTTGGGAAGGTCCGGCGGCCATTTTAGGTGTTCCGGCGGCCATTTTGGGAAGGTCCGGCGGCCATTTTTAGTGTTCCGGTGGCCATTTTGGGAAGGTCCGGCGGCCATTTTAAGGGTTCCGGCGGCCATTTTGGGAAGGTCCGGCGGCCATTTTGACTGTACCGGCGGCCATTTTTGGAAGGCCTCGTGGCTAATAGAGGCCTAGTAAGGGCGAAAGGCCTCCTTAACTGTCTGCCTTGCCCTTTCTTTCAGCTTTCCCCCTGAGTTCTGATCCTTCCCTCAGGGGATCTGAGGAATTCTCATGGCTTCCCAACGGCCTTCCAGATCTGCCAAACAACCTTTGCAGCAGGAAGACCCTGGATCCTCTGACCCTGTTCCTGCTAAGAGAAGCAGAAAGACCCATCACACCACAAAGGGGTCTAAACCTTCCCAATCCTCGGCTCTGACCAGGGAAGAGCTAAAGCGCCATAAGGCCATTGAAAAGGCGATCCAGAAGGCTATCCAGGCAGCTTCCTTGCAGGAGAAAGCCACCATTAGCCCCCTTTCATCTCCTGGGGTGGTCCCTTCTACAAGTCCACCCCCTGTTTCTGCAGTCCCATCAAACGTGGATCCCCAGGTTCAACCTGATAAAGGGGACAATCCTGAACAAGTTCCATCCCCTGCCTTGTCCCCAGATAGGGACATCACATCTTTTGTCGGGCCTAAGGCGGTCAATGTAGCATTATTTGGTCCTCAACAGGAAGTTTCCCCTGTCCAGCCTCAACCCCAGGGACACCCTACTCAAGCCCCCCTCCCTTTAGCCCCCCCTTCCTTGCCCTTAGGCAATCAGATCTCCTCTGATTTGGCTTCCTTCATCAGGGAAGCCATCAAAATGGGGGTTAGGGAGGAACTGCAGAAGACCTCCTCTTGGGGCTCCGGTCGCTCCTTCTCACAGATTGATGTAGAAGGCTCTATTGTTTCTGCTGCTGACGCAGACCTTCAGGGACCTGAGTCTCTAGCCCAGGTAAGGTCTCCTGATCATTCTGACAGGGAATCCTTAGCAGCCCCTGATCCTCTGGACCAGGATTTGTCGGATGACGAAGGTCTGGCCCCAGACCAACCAGCATTTGTGGGTCTCTTTAAACCCCAACTTTTTCGTTCCCTGCTCCACAAGGCCAAGGCCGTCACAGGTTTGGGATCCTCTCATATCTCATCGGTTAATGCGGGGGAAGGTACTTCCTCTTCCATTCCCCTCTTTGAGGAACCGGCCATTGAATCTGAGGAAATCCCTGGCCCCAAGTTATTTAGGGATGTTCTTCAACGCCAATGGGCAGCCCCTGCTTCTGGACCCAGCCCCAATGCTAATGACAGACGTCTTTATAATTTGGCACCTGAACTGTCATCTATTTTGCAGGTCCCCGCAATAGACCAGCCTGTAGCGGAACTGTCAGCCCCCTCTAATTTGACAGGTCCTCCTGATGAAGGTCTACGCCCAGAGGATAGACGGCTAGAGCATTCCCTGGTTAGATCACACCAGGCCACTGCCTGGTCGGTCAAGGCCTCCTTGGCCGCCTCCTTTTTTAACCGAGCCTCTATTTTATGGCTCCGCCAACTCCAGGCCAAGCTCCCGGTCTCAGACCTGAGGACCCACCAGGACATAAGCAAGGTTATTGTGGCCCTAGACTTCTCAGCGGATGCTACCTTAAATTCCTCTCGCTTCGCTGCCAAGGCCATTGGTTCCTCTATAGCTGCTAGACGCTTGCTCTGGCTCCGCCAGTGGCAAGCGGATGCTAAGTCTAAATGGCGCCTCGCTTCTTCCCCGTTTGAAGGGCCCAAGCTTTTCGGGGCTCCACTGGAGCCCCTCTTGGTTGAGTCCAAGGACAAGCGCCGCATCCTGCCTAGCCTATCCCGGCGGTCTGACTTTAGGGCCCAATCCTCCTTCCGACCATTCCGGTCTTCTGAAGGGGGTTTCTCAGGAAGCCGTCGTCAACGGTTTCCCCCGCCTAGACAGTTCCGACCTCAGGATCGTCCAGGTCCCCCTCCCAGAGGTCATAACAGACGGCCCTTTCGAGGGGGCAGGGGGCGGGGATTCCGTAGGTCACGCTGACGGCTTGGCCCAGCTACCCATTGGAGGCCGCCTGGCGTCCTTCGCCAGCCAGTGGGCAGCTACCTCGTCGGACGCCTGGGTCAGGAGGACTATCAGTTCTGGCCTCTCTCTCGAATTCCTGTCCTCCCCCCCAGAGAGGTTTCTTCGTTGTCCCATCTCACAGAGCCGAACTTCCAGGCTCTTGGTGGCTTCTGCCATCCTCCACCTACTAGAGATTCGGGCCATCGAACCTGTGCCCCAGGGGCAGCACGGACAAGGCTTCTATTCACGCTTGTTCGTTATCCGAAAGTCCTCAGGGGGGTGGAGGGCGATTTTAGACCTCAAATCCCTGAACCGCCGGATTGTTTACCGGCGGTTCAAGATGCAGTCCCTCCAGACCATCCTAGAGGGCATCAGGGTTGGAGATTACCTCTCGTCGATCGATCTGACGGAGGCGTATCTCCATGTCCCCATCCTCCCGGCTCACCGCAGGTTTCTCCGATTCTGCTTCTCGAACCAGCACTACCAATACAGGGCCCTCCCATTCGGCCTCTCATCGGCCCCCAGGGTATTCACGAAATTGATGGCCGCCATAGCGGGCCATCTCAGGGCCATCCCCATCCGGATGCAGTTCTACCTGGACGACCTTCTGGTCCAGTCAGTCTCGAAGCCCCAGGCCCTTCGGGACCTTACGACCACTCTCCGGGTTCTGGAGGCCCATGGGTTCTCCATAAATCGGGCCAAAAGTCATCTAGTCCCGACTACTCGCCTCCAGCACCTAGGGGCTGTTATCGACACGAGTCAGTGCAAGGTCTATCTTTCCCGGGATCGCCTGGCCAGTCTGCGGTCTCTGGTCAGGGCAGTGAGGACAGCGAAGGGCTCTTCCCTGGCCTCCCTCTCCCAACTCCTGGGAAAGATGGTATCTTGCATCGGCATAGTCCCCTGGGTCCGTCTCCACTGCAGGCTTCTGCAGTGGTTCCTCCTCCCTTACCAGAAACGGGGGCTGGGGTCCTCCCATCGATTTGTCCACCTTCCCCCCCAAAGTGCTCAGGTCCTTCGATTGGTGGGACTCGGGGGCCCTTCTCCAGGGGACGGAATTCAGGGAACAACAGTGTCTGATCCTTACTACAGACGCCAGCCTTCTCGGCTGGGGGGCCCACCTTTCCTCGTCCCTCGCTCAAGGTCTCTGGACTCAAGCGGATTTAGAGCACAACATAAACTGGTTGGAGCTCCGGGCCATCCACCTGGCCCTTCGGGTCTTTGCCCACAAGGTACAGGGCAGGCATGTCCTCGTCAGGACGGACAACGTGGCCGCCAAGGCCCACGTGAACCGCCTGGGAGGGACCCGCTCTCGACCCCTCATGGAGGAGGCCGAGAGACTGGGCTCCTGGGCGGAGACACACCTCAAATCCTTGAGGGCGGCACACATCTCAGGTCTCCAGAATTCTCAGGCGGATTGGCTGAGCAGGACCTCTCTGGACCCCGGGGAGTGGTCCCTGGACCCTCGGCTTTTTGCGGAGATCACTTCCCTGATGGGGTCTCCAGTCCTGGACCTTTTTGCCACACGGTCCAATCGGCAGACCCAGAGGTTCTTTTCACGGTTTCCGGAACCAGGGGCGGAGGCCGTGGATGCTCTCCACAGCGCATGGCCCCCCGGCCTTCTGTATGCCTTCCCCCCACTCCCAGTCATCGCCAAGGTCATCAGGAAGATGCTACAGGAAAAGGCGGAACTGCTGCTCATCGCCCCCCCATTGGCCCCGCCGGCCTTGGTTCGCGGACCTGATGGCCCTCTCGGTTCGGCGTCCATGGCGTCTCCCTCCGGACAGAGTCGTCCTCCGTCAAGGGTCTCTTCTTCATCCGGACGCCGCATGGCTACAACTAACCGCCTGGCGATTGAGCGGCGTCTACTGAGTTCCCGTCGTCTGCCTCCCAGAGTCGTTGCAACTATCCAGGCAGCTCGTAGACCGTCAACCACCCGGATCTACGACTCCACCTGGAGGGCATTTTCGTCTTGGTGCGACAGAAATTCCATCGCCCCCACGGCAGCCTCCACGGAGCAGGTCCTCATCTATCTTCAGGATCGCCTCGACTCAGGTTTGGCTCCCAACACTCTCCGCAGGCAAGTAGCCGCAATTTCCTCCATTCTTTGCTGTGGTTCACGGGGTTCCCTAGCCTCCCGCCCACTTATTCGGCAATTCCTTAGGGGTGCCTCCAACCTTCGGCCTCCTCCTCTCCATAGGTATCCCACCTGGGATCTTCCTCGGGTCCTGGATGCCCTCACCAAGGCCCCCTTTGAGCCTCTAAGGGAGGTGGGGCTTCGATTCCTATCGTATAAGGTTGCTTTCCTTCTGGCCATCACTTCGGCCAGGAGGGTGTCTGACTTGGCTGCCCTCTCAGCCCGAGAAGACCTATGTATCTTCCACCCTGACAGGGTCGTTCTCAGATTGGACCCCACTTTCCTTCCCAAGATCAATTCCCCTTACCATAGAACCCTCGAATTAGTCCTTCCCGACTTCTGCCCTAATCCTTCTCATCCCCTCGAGAAGGCTTGGCACACTCTAGACGTCAGAAGGGCCCTCCGCATTTACCTCCGACGCACCTCTTCCCTGCGCCAAACGGAAGCCCTCCTGGTTTCATTTCAGCCTGCCTCCTTAGGCAAGAAGGTATCGGCGACCACTTTGGGTCGTTGGATCCGCGCCACCATCGCAAAGGCTTATGAGGTCCTCTCCATTCCGGTTCCTCGTGGTATCACGGCGCACTCTACCCGTAGTGCGGCCACCTCGGTCGCGTGGGCTACTCAGGCTTCCTTGGAGGAAATCTGCAGGGCCGCCGCCTGGACGTCCCCCACTCCCTTCGTTAGACACTATCGGCTCGATAGGTTTGCCTCTGCCGAGGCTGCCTTCGGACGCAGGGTACTCCAGCAGGTTCATTTGGGAACCTCCCCACCCCCTCGGGCAGGTCCCTCCCTACAGAGTTAGGCTTGGGTATGTCCCAATCCTGACCACTGGAGCCAGGATCAACGAGAATGGGCGTTGACTTACCTGAACGCTTCTTCTCGTTGCTCTGGCTCCAGTGGTCAGCCCCGCCCTGTTGGTGCCCTCGTGGGTGGGGAGGATTCTGTGGATCTCTCTCTATTTTTGTCTTACAGCTCAAAGTGCCAGTCTGCGTTGCTGTCTTTCATCAGAAAGCTGGGAAGCAAGACAAAGGGGAGGAGCTTCTCAGCTTTGCAGACTCAATCAGTAATTGGAGCGTGTCACTACCCAATCCAATCCTGACCACTGGAGCCAGAGCAACGAGAAGAAGCGTTCAGGTAAGTCAACGCCCATTTTACAACCTTGCTTGCCATAGTTGTTAAGTGAATCACTGCAGTTGTTAAGTTAGTATCACAGTTGTTAAGTGAATCTGGCTATGAGTCAGTTGCCAAGCATCTGACATTTGATCGCTTGACCGTGAGGATGCTGCAATGGTTGTCATAAGTCATTTTTTTCAGACGTGTTGTAACTTTGAATGGTCAGTAAGTGAACTGTTGTAAGTCGAGGACTACCTGTACATTCTACTAGGACCAACAGCACAGACAGGGACAGCCTTTGAAAGTGAAATGAACCTAAAGAATGCAGCTATTTAAACACTTCTAGGTTTGTGCTAATGTGCTTCACCAAGCATTTTTGAATGCTTTTCCCATACTTAATATCCATTCATGTAAATCTTTGGTAACTAATCTAAGTAGTCTGAGAAGACATTTATTCTTTCCATTTAAAAAAAAACCTGACTCTAAAAGAAGTTTAGAGTCTTTCAAAATAATTTCCAGTGTTTAAACTTTAATTCTGAGATTTCAAAAATGTCAAATTCTGCTAATAGAACTGGTGACATTTAAAGTCATTAACGAGCTGCAGCAAAAAAAGGATGGTCCCTCCATTGGTTCTGTAAACCAACCACTACTTCAAATGGATAGTGATTTTTTTCAATTTGTTATTTGATAAATAGCATGTAGCAGCAATAGTGATAGATGCCAAATGCTAAATTATTGAATGCAAATTAAAGATTAAAGGAAAACAATATGGAAATTGGCTGTAGAGAGATTAAGGCAAACGTTACATTATTATAAATAATTTTAGTTACTGAAAGATTAATACTAAATCTGATATGTACAAATGCCATGTTTAGGCAACTACTTAAATATTCACACAGAAACAATACAAAGTTTTCAGATATAGACATGTTGGAAAATGGAAAATACTCAACTTTCTAACATCTACATGGGTGTTCTCCTGTAAGATCATGTATAATTACATGATTTTGAGTGGAGAAGTCAAAGCGGGTCATAATTGTGACTATGGTCTATATTTTTAATAGATAGCTACTGTTAGGGATTTGTCAATGTGAGCTAGAAATAAAAGCAGCTGTTTGTAAAATTCATGTAGCAGTAGGGAAGTACCGATCCCTTTAAAGGTTCAAAACAGGATTTCTACATTTCACAAACAATCCAATCCAAGTATCATGCTTTGGCAAACAAAATTGAGTCTGGCATTATTCTAGGTTCATTCTAGGCGACTCAATTAAGACAGATTTGGGGGGGGGGAGGAAATGAAAGTTTGGCAATTTCATTTTTATAATGGAATGAATCTAACATGAAACCAAAACAAGTATAAAATACAGGCAGACATAGGCCCAGTTCCAGGTATGTGAAATCATAACAACACTGCCTGGCACTCCAAAGCATGTAGGGGCCCAGAATGCAACACCTATCTGCAACTCTAAAGCAGCCATGCCTTTTCCCAGGATTACATGTATTTCTGCACAGCAGTTGGATGGAAAACATCCAGCTGCTTTAAAAAGTTGCAGACAAGTCCCATGTGCTCTGGAGAACCTTTTTGGAACTGAATCTGAAGTACTACACAGCCCTACTTTGTAGGGATTTGGTTCCATAAATATGGCTTGCAAATGTAGTAACCTTTTAAAACAGCTTTATCTGTTTCCAGGTTCGATCCAAGTCATATCCCTGAAAGCAGATACGTCTCCTGTATAAGTTAACTCTCAATGCTGTACAGCCCCAATACGCCATGCCTTCAAACTCCTTCCTAAAACAACTTCCACCTTTTTGGGGACAATAAATGTTTTACTTTTAAAAATGAGTGTAATTTCCTATCATACCTGAACTTTTGGTGGGGGGGTGGGGGGAGGCTTTGACTAGAAAGTTGTTATTCCCAACCTGGCATCCTCCAGATACTAGATGACAATTTCATTTACAAAGTATTTTATAAAGCAATTGGTTAAGGAAGGATAATTTGAACCATAGCTAGCTCAAAAAAAGTAGGCTCCCTGATTGTGTCAAAATTTATATTAAGATTAATGTAGAATTCTACTTAAGAGAATTCTACTAAGAGTAGCCATAGTATGGCAAAGAAAAAGAGTACATAAATCCCTTATAGAAGTATAGCACATAACTTTAATTGAACATTGTGTCTGACAATTTCATTTAAAAAAAGTACTTCATATACTTCCTGTCATTATAATGCACTTCTATCTTCATGCTACATTTTACTAGTACTACTGCAAAATACTAGAGAGAAACAAGAAAGAACTTACGGGGAGATTGTACATCCAGAGGCATATGCATGATGGCCTGTGTAACGGATATCACAACGTACAATGTTGTTGGAATAGTCTGATTCCGGTACCAAGTAACTAGGGTTGACACTAACCTACAAAAGAAATACATGCTATACTTTACAGGTTTCATATAATACTAAATAAGTTTGGGTTTTCTAATTAATGAAATGTGATTACCTTTAAAATGTAATTTCCAGGTTTAACATCTGTAATATCAATCCACTGGCAGTCTATATCAGCATTGTAGGTATCGTAACAACCAGGACTCAGCCCCTAGAAATGTAATGTTGATTTTTTAAAAACTTGAGAGAATAACCATTTTAAAATACAGTATAAGCATATATTACTTGTAGAATAAAGAAATAGTCACTTTTCTTCTGTAAAGATTATTGGTTTATTTTTGCCATATCTGGAGCCTTCAACAGTCTTCAAATACCAGCAGATTTTTCTTCTTCAAGTATTTTATGTCTAATACTTGAGATACATGGCTGGTCTAAAAGCAAACAGTGACATCCATTGGAATAAGCTAGTAAAACAGATGCTTATGCTGCTATCCTCTAACTGCTATCATGCTTGAATACCCTGAATGGATAGCTCCATTTAAGCTACATATATAGTCTTCACAATTTCCGATATACAAGGTCCATCCCTTTCTCTACCATGAAATTATTCTAAGTGATATCTTGACTGTTTCTAGGGAAAGTATAATGTTTAGTCACAGACTTTGTGTCACTTGGCAAGAACAGTCTTGGCTACGGAAAGGAAGGTCATGGGTATATAGAATGCTGGCAGCTGAATATGTTTTTTAGATTTGGAATCAGACTGCAGTCTTCAGTAATTGCTGAGGAAAATGCTTCATAAAATGAAGCTATTAAAATGATCATGTTAAAATGAGATGGAGATAAATTCTTTAAAAAATTCAAAATATGATACTATAAGGCTTGATATAGTTGGTTACTTATTTGTAATTGTGAGATACATGCTGTAGAGACTAATTATTGCCGGCTGCATCAGACATAATATGCTTGTAAGTGGTGTCAATCAAAATATAGTCAAGAACATTGTTGAAATTTATTATGATGCAATACAGTTCTATCAGCTATGAGAAAACTGAAGTAATGCTGCTGAAAAATGTATAGAGGAACAGGAGGATATGTTTATAGCAAGTCAAAATAAAAGAGAGAATGTAAGTAATTTTCACCTGAACAGGACCCTAACACAAGAAATCTGAATCAAGATTTCATCTATGGTCTATTACCTTCACTATTAATGTTATTACTTTTAAATTTTAGGTAATATTGAAGCATAATTATTAGATTTTTGCAAACATAGATCTAGTTTGATGTAGATTATATAAAAATATGGTCTTTGCTGTTTCTTTCATTCAGCCCTTTACAGTTTTCTTGGCAAGATTTTGGAAGTGGTTTGCCATTGCTTACTTCTTAGGACTAAGATTAAGTGACTGGCCCAAGGTCAGTTTGTGACTGGCTTTGTGCCTAAGGTAAAACTAGAATTTATTGTCTCCTGGTTTCTACCTTAATACCTTCATCACTACACCAAACTGGTCCTGTAATACTTATTTGTAGTACATTATATATTATTATTTGATTATTTAAATTAATATTTAATAAAAATACTGTTCATGAAACACTGCTAGATAGTATTATATACTGTAAGTAAATAATTCATAATACTAAGGGCAGAAAGATCCAAGCCTAAGCTGATGATAATGTTGATATTTCCTTTAAGCCAATGCACCAAGAGAATTGAGCAAACTATTACAAACTCAAAGTTGATATTAGCAAATCTACTCATTAAAATTAAAGCAACTCTTAACAGCTGCAGGTTTTTTTTCAGGCTTATGTGGAAGTTTCAAAAAATGGAGCTGCTTAAACAAATCGCAAAAACAAAGAAAGCTGCTCTTGTGCAGAGTACAATGCACTTCTTTCACATCATTTTCAAAATATGAACAACCCATCATCAACTATCTCTGTCTACCAGCTAAGTCAGTATTTCTCAATTTCAGCAACTTTAATGCTGGCTGGGGAATTCTGGGAGTTGAAGTTCACCCATCTTAAGTTGCCGAGGTTGAAACACACTCAGCTAAGTAATTCTCTGTACCAAGCTTTAAAATGCAATAAATCTTTGAAAGGGATCTAGTTACTGATATATGTCAATATTAAATTGAAAATGAAAATTGTTTAAGGAAAGACAAATTGATAAACTTGAACATGATTATACTCAATTTAATCTGATGGTTAATCAATGAAAATTAATAGCATTCTGGAAATGAAATTTACTTAAAGAAAACTTCAAGAAACACTTACCTTGATTTGCATTACATATTTCAAGTGAGTAAAACAATTCATTTACAAACTCTTGCTATTTACTAAAGGACAGCTATATTCCAAAAGGCAATAGGATAATCAAGATTAGGTTCAAAATTATGCAGTCCTATGATTTTTATTTTCATTCTTTATTTGGAGGGAAGATTATCAGGAACTGTTGCCCATTTTTAAGAAAACTTAAACTAAGATCCCCAGAGCAACTCTTCATAGATATAATTCTTTGTACTATTCTATTAAGGATACTGGTAGTCCTTGACTTACTGTATTACTGTAATTAAGCCTAGAATGATGGTTGTAAATTATTGTAGTCATAAATTGGGGCACTCATATGACTGGAAGTAATTTTCCAGCCTTTTTTGTGGACTTTGTTCAGCAAATACAGTGGTCATTAAGCAAATGTAGCTGGTAGCCAATTATTAATTCATTCATCTTAATAGCAGATTTTTGCCGGAAACCGCAAATAATGTCAGAAACCAGCAAACAATGTTGCGAATCCCAGTCATGTGATTGCAGAATGTTGTGGCCAATCATAATGCTGACCCACCCAACATATACTCATGTGACCCTGGGGGCAGCAGCATTTATGACAGCCAGAGTGATTTACAGCCCATCAAGCACAAATTTCTTGGCTGTCATAATTTCAGTTATATAACAACTTGTCATAAAGTGAGGACTATCTTTATTTTACACTAATTCATTCTACCTGGCAATAGATTAGAAAGATGTTACTCACCATTCCTAAAGAAATTTAAACATCAGTTGTCATTCATTTTATTCCTAACTATTTTCTGGTAGATTAAGCACTTTAAAACTAAATCAAAAGATGTGAAACTGTTCATGATATACTTCTTTGTAATGCAAAGTTTCATAGTTTGTAGAAATTGATAGCTGATATTAATCTAAATTCTGTCTAAAGAATAGCAGTATTAATAATTATACATTACCTGTGTATGGGCTGTACATGCAAATCGCCTATAGTATCCATAGTCACAAGAAGTGTCTTCAAGACAAAAACTTGCTTTGTGTCCTTCAGCTACTCTACTGTGTGAGCTTGCTTCAAGTAAGTCATAATGACTGAATTCATCCATGCTATGGTAATGTCTGTTAATAAATTAACAAACAATATTACTTTAACTTATTGCACCAGGAATCAACATCTTAATAATAATTTGGGTCAACAAGGCAATAGTCAAAATAATATTTTCCCAAATTTTAAATATTGCAGTATTCAGTTCTATTAGGCAAATACTTTGAAGTCCAGTGATACTACTGTCTACATATTATAATTCCAATGATTATAATAAAATATAGCCTTTAAGAATGTTGTTATATGTTGTTTGTTTAAACAATAGGCAACTGCTATTTTCAAATTTCCTATTAGATTACGTAAGGAGCTAAATATGGAAAGTAGATTCATTTATTTTATTTATTTATTGGTTCGATTTATATGCCGCCCTTCTCCGGAGACTCAGGGCGACTTACAATGCGTTAAGCAATAGCCTTCATACTTTTGTATATACCTGTTTAGTAGGGCTTTCGGCGCTATTAGCCGAAAGCCCTACTAAGGCTTTCACTATTAGTCTATATGCACTATTAGTCTTGTTTTAACAATATTATCTGACTAAAATTATTTGTGTTACTCTCATAAATTTAAGATCCTTCTCTTTATGAAATGTTTCCTTTTTTTAAATGGATCTAGTAAAATATGCAAAATAAATTAAAATTAAGGTCTCAGGTCGTCTTCTAGTTCTACATATATGCAGATAGGTTTGTTTGTTTGTTTGCATATTGCAGTTCTATTGTCATTTTATAGACTAGGGGAAGTGTGTCCACCATTTTCTATTAACAATATTATTGCTGTTTATGGCCATTGCATTAAGCTGCAAAAATCTGGTTAGCAATATATATTTTACTGGCCTCTAATTGTCACCTGGATTTTGGCAGCCCGGCTATGGTGGCCCAAATCTCAGACTTCCTTAACCAGATTATCTCCTAGGCATTTTGGAATTGCAGATCCTAGAAATCCGAGGCCACATATTTTCTCCTTACTCTGGCTGCAAATTCTTACTAGTTCTGATGTATCTAAAAAGCATCCAGTTTGAGAACCCTGAGATATTGAATAGAAAAAGAAATCACACACACTTCAAAATGAATTTCACCTTTATGATCTAAAATTATAAAGACAGCCAACAGGTAAGGATCAAAAGTTATATTCCGATTTTTGCTAGTGTTTTCATAATAAAAAATAACGTTAACCATTATCTTTGCAGTATTTTTACATGTAGATAATTCATATTTACACAGAAGGAAAAGGACTCCACATTAGATACCTTTACCCAGTAATGCCTCCATTACAATATTTAAATGTAATTTATCCTTTCTTGTCAATTAAATTTGATTGGTATTAATGTTTATACAAACAAATTAAGATGATTGGTGCCATGCACTTATTTTTAGTATTCTAGTATTACCGTGTTTACACTCAAATTAGACACTATTTTATATATTAAACTCAGCAATTCATTTTGATATCTAAAATACTCCTTTATTGAGCTATAAATCAAAGGAAAATGGTTATTCAGAGAAGATTCCAGTCTATTGACAATTTCTTCAGGAATTTCCTGAATTTACACAGTGCAACCCAGGAAAAGACAAAAGAAGCTGCCCAACAAATGTGATACACAGGCTCATGTTTGCTGCACGTTATCTTAATGTTTTCCACACAACAGCAACAAGAAGAGTGGAACAGACAAAAACAGTAAATAACAAAGGAACATAATTTAAAAGTGCCACATTGAACACTTCACTCACTGATGACAGCTGTGCCATTCCCATGAGTATCGTGGTCGGCTTGGTAAGAAATCTGATGTACCTTGATTTTTCACTCTCTGTGGAAATCTCAGAAGTACTCGGTTATCATAGTCTCTAACATCTGATCTGTAAGCTGAGCTGCAAGAATATGCATATGAAGAGAGTGAAATAGTTTAACAAGTAGATCTTAATTTAAAATGTCATATTTATATTGTGTAATTGAATAATTCCTCTTGGAATTTATCAGGCTTAATGCAGCTTTCATCAGTGAAAACAACGGGGAGTTAAGTTAATCAGGACTAACATAAATTGCAATGGTCCACCTTAAGCATGACTAACAAGGATTCAACCCAGTGAAAATCCACTGTTTTTAAGATTCTAAAGCTGCTAAACAATTTTTATGGAATGTCTACATTAGAAAAATATTGTGCAATATAATTGATGTTTCTCATTCTTTCTTGATAAGAGACATGGATATTTTTTTAGTTGAATCACTTTCATTTACAGGAAACGTGGAACTGCCCTCAGCAGTATAACAATCTCTTCGATATCAGTATTCATAACTTCAAAATAAAGTTAAGACCATAAAATATTTCCATTTTTATTTAAGTCTACATAAAATACACCAAACGCTATTGGTAGCCAGATTCTTTTGAACACTTTTTTCTAATTAATATTCTTCCTTTGAATAAAGTCACTGAGCAACTCAGGTTTCCTGTTTCTTTCAGAATTTATGGAATTAAGAACTAAGGAGAAATTTCCTGACAGTTAGAACAATTAATCAGTGGAACGACTTGCCTCCGATTGCTCCAGTACTGAAGGTTTTTAAGAGACTAGGCAACCAGTCCAATTTTTCTAGATTTGTTTCTTCCTATTATTTCTGTTGTTGACCGCCCCCTTGATTCTTCACTTTTTTCTTCCCCATCAATTTCAGCAGAATTCATTTGTTTTATCAATAATTTTTCTGATTAAAAGAAAAACTGAACAGAAAAATATAGCTGGAATCGTATGATATTCCTAGTTTCATCTGCAGTTTAATTCCATTTCCATTAAAAAGAAAATCCATATAGATTTACAACTATAACCAAGAAAAAGTACCTGCCTCAAGCATATTAATGAAATCTAGACTAACATTGCTTTGAATCAGTTTGAGTTATAAAAATCCATTTGAAACTTAGCTCTAAATGTTATTGGGCATTTTTTTACAATTGCTATGGTCAAACAAATCAAATATGTGTAGGTTGTCAGTTCATAAATTAGATTGCAACATCTCTACTGGAACCAAGTCTCATTCAGTTCAATTGGGCTTAATTTCAAATATCTCATCTGTCTGTTTATTATTAAGCCAAGGATTTGCCAAGGATTCAAAAGCAGTGCTTCACAAATTAAAGCTTTTTAGCATTTAAGCAGTGACAACCTTTCAAACCTTGATGTCTCCTTTGGAAACTGTCCTTGGTGTTTCACATGTGTGCCTAGAAACTGTAGCTGTCTACAGACACATTACCTTTGCTATAGACGTCGTGTATCCATGCAGATTAATGGGCAAACAACTAGATACAGCTCTCAAACTAGCAGTACAAACCTTGTATAGGGCCCAGCTACTTTTAAGTTTCGGAGAGAGGTGCTTTGCAGGATTCAATCTACGTTGGCCACTGGGACCGAACACTTATTCTTCCAAGTTTTTGGGCTCCTGCTGGAGCCTGTCATCAAGGTGGTACTTTCTCTCCAGAATATGTGCACTGCGGTATCCTATGCATTGTATTTATATAGTTCCTGATTATGTGTAGCTTTTACTTAATTGAGGTGTTTATGTCTGGCTATTAAATCATTTTTGTTTCTTTGTGCCACTGCACTCTCGGCTCCTATGTACCTGATAGACTGGTGGTAGATCAGCACTTCTATTGACTGACAAGGGGCCCGTTTCTCAGGCTTCAATCATTTCTCTGGCTATTTTTGTCCCTGCTCACCCAATAATCATAGTACCTGCAAAATTGAATGTTCATTGTTCATTGCGATGTGAGGCTACCAACGAGACCTGAACTCATTGATAGCCTCACACTGCAGTGAGCAAGGACATGCATTTAATTTCCCAGCTAATATGAATATTGGGTGAACAGGGACAAAAATAGCCAGTGAAACGATTGAAGCCTGGGAAGTCAATAGTCCCTTGTCAACTTGGAAGAGTAAGTCGGTCCTGGTGACCGACTTAGATTGGATCCTGCAACATTATCCTGGGACACATATATTTACCTTCATTCCTAAGAGATGCTTTGGTTTGAAGGATTTCTGAGAGCTCTGCTGACTCCTACTATCATGTATTATCATAGCTTTATCCTAATGCATGTTTATGAAAGCCCCACTGCATTTAATGTAACTTACTTCCACATGTACGCATTCGATTACAGTTTCATTATGAAATGAACTGCACTGATTGTGATTTGATATCTGATTATCAATTAATCTAGATGCTGAAATGCAATGAGTTAAAAATAGATTAGAGTAGGGAGATAGCTGAGAAATAACTGCACATTACAATAATCAAACAGCAATTTAAAAATTACTTTCTTCTGTTGTGTACAAAGCAATGTGCTCAATAAAGGCTTTCTTTTCAAAAATTAATAAAGCTCTGGGTTAATGAAAAACAGATCCTGGTAAGAAAATAATTCCTAAACAATCAAAGCATGGAAACCTTATGTAGCTTGGTCATCAAGCTTTCAGCAGACATTAATAAAAACAGTATGTTTTATGAATTGGAATAGTAAAGGAATTTTCTCCACTGCTTAAATTCTACTGAAATCATGTCTATTTCCCTCTTGTTAAGTTACCAGTGCAATTCAAAATCTTTGATAATGTATCCTGGGCACAAAACAATAATGTTCAAACAATATGTGCCTCAAAAAGTTAATTCTTTTATAAACCTATATTCTATAGTTTGGCCTTCTTCAATCTAGTGTTCTCCAAATATGTAAAGGTTACTAGAATTCCCAGTCAACATGGGGAAAGATTGAGATACTGGGAGTTGTACTCCCCCAAAATCTTTAGGGAAAGACTGAAACTTATTCAATAATCTTTCTATTCAACAGGTATTTTATGAGTATATGAAATCAAAGTCATCCCTGTACTTACCTAGCTAGACAATTCTCTTCAGCAGCACACCTCAGGTTGTACATAGACGTCTTTTGGACATAAGTGGCTGCTTGAATGTAATAAGGATCTGGCACTAAATCTGGCAACCCTGTAGTGCATCAAATCACACACAAATATACAGAAAATAGATCAGGCCCAGAAAACATCTACAAATTTTACTCTTGAAAAAAGCAGCCAAAGTTGCAGTTTCTAGTCATAGTGTGACAAATGGGAACCCTATACTGTACACAGTCATTTAGTAAGACCACAAATCACTTTTCAGAAGATCAAAAGAAACATTAAAATACAATGTGTCTTCCAGATTGGAACTATTTATACCACATGATCCTGTAAAATAGTTTTCTTATGTATCTTAAAGGCATTTTCCTCATAAGGCCACCAGCTGAGGAAAACAATAAGTTTGCCAGATACCAGAACTGTGTCTAGAACAATAAATTATGCTTGTTGTCTTAAGGCAACAATAGATATTCTAAAAAAGGCTGTGAACATCCATTAAGTAGGCTATATTAAATTACAACCAAACATGAGCCTCAAAATGAAGCCAACAACAGCCTATCTTGAATTTGAGTGTTATCTAGGAGACCTACATTTCTACTTTTCAAGTTTGGTTCAGTCCCAGTGCTGAACCTTCCGGATAGCAGCACTTGAAATAATACAAGTAACCTTGACCAGCATACCTACAAAGCTTTCTCCTTACCATGTTATAGTCACATCTAAAGTCAAGGGCAAGCTGATGAAGTTCTAATAAACTTGTATGCAAAAGATATGCAAAAGGAACTGGAATCCATCTAAGAAAATGAACCATTAACACTGCCCCCCACTTATAAATTCCACTTCCTAATGGTTGCTGTTCTATTAGAATGAGGGTCCTCTCTCCTCGTAGCTCCCAGCATCGTGGTGTTTTGCATTACTTTAACTCTCAACATCTTATTTTTTAGCGCAAGATCCCGACCGACTACCGGGCGAGGGGGAGACTTGGGACCAGATGGTGATCAGCGGATGTGGGGCTGGCCGAGGTGAAATCCCGCAGGCTGCCGAGAAGGGAGGGACTTGCCACGCGGCTGGGTTGGATCTGGGGGTGGGGGTGGGAGCTCGCTTTTTGGAGGGACACCGTTACAGACTCAAACGGCTAATTCGGTATCTGCGGGCAGATATTTAAAAACTTCCTTAGAATAGACGTGCAATTCTTCACCTCGTTCCTTTTAAGCAAGCCTGCCCCGCCGCCTGGGTGTGACTGCTTGAAATGCGCGCCCTTACCGTATTGAAAATAGCCGGTGCCGTACCCCGGTCGGTAGCGGCCTCTCTGTCGGGGCTGCTCATAGGTATCATGGTAGTTATAATAAGGGTTGTCGTCCGTGTACTTGTACGGGTTGTACGGGTCGTCCCCCACCATGACGTCTCCGCGGGGCGGCTGCCGGAGATTGCTTAGAGTAAAGCCAGTCTCATTGCCCGTCCTGGCGGGGGCGCGCTCCGCGGGGCTCCCTTGCGCTCCGTCTCGGCCCCCGTCCGTGCCATTTCTGTCGGACGGTTGCTCGTAGCCGGCTTGGAACCAGTACTGCGCCTCCGGTTTTCGGGTGGCAGTGGCGCCTCTGCCTGCGGCGCTTCCCGGCGCCCTGCGAGGAGAAGTGTCGTTGCCCCTGAGGAGCAAAACGTGGCCGCCTTGCGCGGGCTCCTGGCTGACCCTACGACGCGCGGGTTGATACTGGGAGCCGACGCTGAGGAGGCTGTACACCTGCCCGTTGTTCTCCCATTGAATCCGCTGCCTCCAGACGGCGGGAGGAGGGGGCGGCGGATTCCTCGGTGGCATCCCGTCCGCCGGCAGCCACAGCAGGCAACTCCAATAGAAACACGCTTGCAGCTGGGCAAGGCCCAGGAGAAGCGGAGTCCGGGAATGGAGGCGCATGGCGACGGCGTGGGTCTCTCACAAGCGAGCGGGAACTCCACTCGACGACACTGCAGGACTAGGGAAGGGGAGCGCGCTCCAAGGTCCCTCCCAACACTCTTATTCTGTTAGGTCAAAAGGAGCAGTTGGCGGCTTTCCTCTTCTCCTTTCCCAGCTGCAGACCTCCGACTTATTTTGCGCAAAGCGAGCGAGCCCACCTCGTTCTCTTTCTTTTCCTCCCAGTGCTTTCTTTTGCAGCGAGATGGGATTGGGGAGGAGGAGCAGCCTTCGCCTCGTCCTCGCTTTCGCTGAAGTCTGGAATGAAGCAGTGGGAGAGAGGGAGAGAATTGGAGGAAGGGCGGAAAGGGGGAGGAGATGAGGGATTTCAAAGTTTCTGGCACATTTGCAAAGTTACACAAGCCCATTCTGGCAGACGGATTCTCTTATTTGTTCACGTAATGCCATTGGAAACGTGCAAGCCCGGTCGTTCCTCTTCCTCTCTGGTTTTCCATTTTTTTTTCCAGCCTTATTTATCCCGGTCGGGAGAAACCCAAAGAAGACAAACAGCATCCGAGCGCCACTCTGGGTATTTAGGAGTCTCTTTCTGCAATCGGCACGCTTCTCGCCGTCTAGGGTTAACAATATGCAGGCATTTCACTTTCCTCAGACAATTTGGTCTGCCAGGAGGTGGGGCGCTGCCAAAATATGCAGAGAGAAAAATGCTATTAGATCACCACCACAACTTGAGAGGCCAGAAAGCAAAGTCAGAAAGTGAAGAAACATGTTTTCAGGGAAATATTTTCGCCGAAGTCATCTCCCACTGTTGGACCTCTGGTGAGGAAACTTGGTGGTGGCAGGATGAAAAAACAACTGCACATTCTCCTGCAATGCCCTTGCATTATGGCCCAAAATCCTCCTCAAATAAAATTGTGCATACCAACTTTTGTTTTTCCCTCGGTGAGTCACAAAAGAAGTTCGTGACAGATGTGAAGACATGAATTTTGCAAAGAGGTGTAAGTCAAAGTGTGTTTCCCATGGAACTGACTGTACAGCACATCAGAAATATTGCTGGGGTGGGTAGGAGAAATCATCAGTTTCAAACAGTTTCCACTTCTTTGGACCACCTCCAAGCAGAATCATGAACCTGTTTTTCTCAGAATAATTTATAGATGCTCTTTGAATCCAACTAACATATAACTTCTATTATTAACAGTTTTTATATCAAGAGTAACTCCATTTTGCTGGAATTCAGTCTGAGTTTGTTTAGACTGTCTAGACTCACACAACTTGCAGGTACTAGATCAAGATTTCCACCACATCATCTAGTCAACCTGAGATGGATATATATTACTGGCTTTCATCAATATAGAAAAAATAACTTATCCTAAGAGAGTGATGATCTCTTCCTGTGAATTTATAGATAAAGAAAAAGAATAGTGAAAAGGGCCAAATGATGAAGGCCTCAGCTTCCCTTCCTACACCAATGAAGAATAGAATCTCTCCAGAAGCAAGAAAGCTTCTGTAGAATAGTGACCAAGATGCCCAATCTTTGCAGATGGTCAAAAAGGACACCATGGTCAATGATTTTGAGTGCTGCTAAGAATCTCTAGTTTCTTGGGCGTTGAGGGGGACCACATGAGTCCTGCCACAGATCATCCACAAAAAAGAGTAAGGAGCTTTCCAATCCATTCCCAAGCCTGAACCCTGACTGGATCCAGGAATCTAGATAATTTACTTCATCCAGAATGCTCTTTAAATGCTGGGGTAACCTTGTCTACAATCTTGCCTATAAAGAAAGGTTGGAGATAGAAGAGTGATTATCTAGAACAGCTAGGTCGAGTAATTGCTTTTTGAGGTTGGGACATAACAAGTATTTCAAGATTGTAGCAGCATCACCTACTTTAAGGAAGCTTTCATCATTTCATTTATCCAACCTTGTATTACCAGTATTAAAATATCTGAAGACCGATCTTGGCAAAAATTAGATATATTTCACATAGAGTAATTTGTTCTCATTTACAGCTAAGTAAAGTATCACTGAATTTTTTTTTCTTTTTTCCCCTTCTCTACCTTGCTATATAGTTCACGTGGGGATTTCTAGCTAAAGCTCAAGTCTAGCTGAACAGTTTATATGTGTATCTTTTTCCTGATTTCTTCAGGTCATTCATTTGAAACAGAATTGAGGAAAAAAATAATCTATATTAATACAAATAGCACACCCTTGTCTTTTCTATTAATACTAATCACCACACATAGAAAGCATCCCCTGGTTTTCTGTGCTACAGCTTCTGAGAAATAGTAATGGCAGGGATACACATGCCACATCTATTCCATATGTTCTCGTCATTGCATAGCATACAGTCAGTTAGTTTAACATGCTGTCTTCCACTGCATGAAGGAGAACCAAGTATGCTGACAAGAATTTCCTCCATCAACATAGCCGGTCTTTACTTTGCCTCATTAACAAGACTGGTATGTAACATGGTCCTAACAAATTACTGTAAAGCAAGTTAGGGTAGATTTACTTTGGAACAAGTTACTGGTGGATTTCCCTGCCAGAGAGGAAAGCGTCCACCAATCCCCCTCCTTAACAGAAGGTGAGGATATGGGTTTGGCCAAAGATGAGAGCAGGGATGCTGGATGGTTAAATCCTGTCTGCTTTGCTACGAAGGCCTTATCCGCCCCAGAGATCAACTATGGCACCTGATCCATGGCAATAAAATCATGAAGGGTGCAGCTCTGTCAAATGGTTCCTGTGAGATACTGTGGGAGAGTGAAGAACCAGGTGTTTTAATATTTATCTTGGAAGAGGGAACTGCTGAAGATATACTGTACTACCAAAGAACCTTGGTAGTACAGTGGTCTAAGGCACCCTGTTATTAAGCTGGTTATTAAGACCAGCTGCCTGCAATTACTGCAGGTTCGAATCTCGCCAAGGCTCAAGGTTGACTCAGCCTTCCATCCTTTCTAAGGTAGGTAAATTGAGGACCCAGTTGTGGGGGCAATAAGCTGACTTTGTATAAATATTCAAAAGGATGAAGGCTATTGCTGAGCACATTGTAAACCGCCCTGAGTCTCCGGAGAAGGGTGGCATATAAATCAAATTAAAAATAATAATAATAAAAAAAAAGATATGAAAAAAAAAAGTTTAAAAGAGACTCTGCCTTAGTTAACTCAGTGTAAATACGATAATAAATTATTACAGTTTTCAGGGTACAGCCAGTATTAAAGTTGCTTTCTTAAAATGCATGTCATTCTTAGTTTCTTGGTCTTATAGCTATGTAGCACTCTTTCATGGATCAGGCACTTGGAGGAGGCTTCAGTAAAGCAGAACATACTCTCTTTTCCTCTATATTGGAAAGCCCCTACCCACCTCCAATATTCTCATGTTTCCCCCTCAAGAACTCCAGTGCAGTATACTGCCAGATTGTATGCATGGAATATTTTTTTTAAAATTTGATTTATATGCCGCCCTTCTCTGGAGACTCAGGGTGGCTTACAATGTGTTAAGCAATAGCCTTCATACTTTTGTATATTTATACAAAGTCAGCTTATTGCCCCCACAATCTGGGTCCTCATTTTACCTACCTTAGAAAGGATGGAAGGCTGAGTTAACCTTGAGCCTGGTGAGATTTGAAACTTGCAGTAATTGCAGGCAGCTGGTGTTAATAACACTGTTAATAACAGTGCTTTAATATGCTGCGCCACCAGGAGTAGTAGCATTGGATAAAGCAAAAAGATTCAGCTAATTCAATGCCAACACCATTGATCTGCTGATACAGATACCATACATATGATCTCTCCTGGATGACATGTCAGCAGCCGTGTGGGAAAATCATAGGGAGGCAGCACTAATAGAAGTTGCAGGACTTTCCTGGTTTTAGCAGCCTAGCATCCAATAGGACCTGCCAATATACTGCATTTCAATCAACCTCTTTTCTCCCTATTGCCCTGTGCAACCTGCCAACCTACTCCAGGAATGTGGCACTAACTGGAGCAGGAGAATTATTTTCCTTCTATCTAAGTCATCGCTTTGTGGTGTCTTGAGACCAGTGGTGACATGTAAAATTTGTTACTACCGGTTCTGTGGGCGTGACTTGGTGGTAGTGGGGGTAATGTGACTGAGAGGGCATGGCCAACTTTTTTTTTTTTTTACTTTTAGAACCATTTTTCGGTTCTAAATTTTTCAGCCGAAGAGGTTGTAAAAAAAATGCTTTTAAAAGCCTCTGACGATCAGGCAACCCAGCTGGGATTATCAGAGCCTTTTAAAAGTATTTTTTCTACAACTTCAGCCAAAGAGGTTGTAAAAAAAATTGCTTTTAAAAGCCTCTGACGATCCCAGCTGAGTTGCCTGATCGTCAGAGGCTTTTTTTTCTTTTAAAAATTTTTTTCTACAACCTCTTTGGCCAAAGAGGTTGTAAAAAAAATGCTTTTAAAAGCCTCTGACAATCAGGCAACTCAGCTGGGATGGTCAGAGGCTTTTAAAAGCATTTTTTCTACAACTTTGGCCCAACAAGTTGTAGAAAAAATGCTTTTAAAAGCCTCTGATGATCCCAGCTGAGCCGCGCAATCATCAGAGGCTGGTTTTTTTACTTTTAAAAGCATTTTTTCAGCCGAAGAGGTTGCAGAAAAAATGCTTTAAAATTTTTTTAAAAAAAAGCCTCTGATGATCGCACGGCTCAGCTGGGCACAGGGGGAGCAGGGATTTTTGCTACCGGTTCTCCGAACCACCCACCACCATTGCTACCGGATCGAGTGATCCAGTCCGAACCGACAGCATTTCACCCCTGGTTGAGACCCATATCAGCAGTTTACACATGGGTTGGAAGCACGTACATCAGTGCTACTACCATTCCACAACAGCTGCTATACCAGTGAGCATACCATGAAGGGGATCTGGAAGAGAAGAATATGACTTTGAAAAGTCATGTCTCCTGACATCACATAACCCACCTTTTAGCTCTTACTTTCAGTAGATTATCAAATGGAAAGATAACTTACACCAGCCCAAAGCAGCCAATAGTAGCTGGATTTATCTCATCCCTGCCAATGTCAAAAGCTGTGATGGAATGTATAACAGACTCTGAGAAAGTGGAAGAGGAAAAAGGTTGCAGCACCTTTCCTTGTTAGGTATACATTGAAATTGCATTCCTATATAGGCGGTGAACCACTATTAATCACACCTGCTTCTGATGGTCTCCTCTAAATGGAATTTATCAAAGAGGAGTCCATCTTATCAAATGCTTGAAATGCTTTATCTAATGCAGTCAAGAATGAGGCCATCAAAATTAAGAAGCTTTTGTTTATACTAGGTGATGATGAGACCATGTCAATGTTAAAAGGTTTGCCAAAGTTTTTGATTGACAATGAGACAGATCATCCTATTTTACACAGGTGTCCCACCAAGGATAGGGCAAAACAAAATATACCCAAATATAACCCTCTGGTAACTAAAATAAATGCTTGCTTAATTCTGTATCATGCATATTACATAAGAATATAAAGTT